AATTGTTTGAGCTATCAGTCTTTTACCCAAAATGTTACTAACGATGCAGACATAAGATGGATTATGAAGGGCATTTACAGGCTGAGTCTATCTCAACTGAGATACAGTCACTGTAGTTATTCGCAACCAACCAAAAGGGTTGCTGGTAAGCTCCTTAGATATTTGGATGAGGAAATTGGAAACACGGCTAGCTCTAACCTCAGGTCAGACTGCGCAAACTTATTGAAACAGACAACATCCGGATTGGGTTGAATAATACTGAAATTGGGATTTCTCAGTTTTTAAAAGTCTCGGGGTCACTCAAGTGGCAACCACATAAGTTTTACTGTATTTTATGCCCAAATATCTGTGCAAAGCATTTATTTGTCACTGTACAGTAACTTTATCATGGTGCCTCGGCTCCCAGATGGATGAAGTCGGTTTTAGCAGAGAGTGTCACAATTGACAACCCACAGTACATGAAATGCGTCTACCTCTCCGCCTGCTAATTTATAGTAGTCTCAGGCTCGTGGCGGGCTGGACTGCGTTTTCTGAGATACGTCACAAATTTCTTATGCCAAACAATAGCTTTGCTCAAGCGGCATTTGAGGCGAACCAAATCTCCACACCTTAAACATAACTATGTTATTACGTTATTTGCTCATTACCATGAAATGGATAGTAATTTTTGAACCAGGTACGTCATATTACCTGTTGCTAAAAGCCTTAACTTGAATTGTTACAATGGAAAGGTACATTTAGTTGACACATGCATTGCGTATAATTTGTGTAGTTGTGTACAACCATGGTTTACTATTGCAGAGCGTTAGTAGTATGTTGTTGCAACTAGCTTTTAACATTCTGAATATTTACTTCGACGAGGACAGAACATAATTACGCGATCAAACGAACTTACCTGTAAGTGATGTTCGATCTTAATTATGGGAACTCCTCTTCGAAGTAAATAACTCCCTCCCTCCCTATGTATCACCCAATCGTTGCAACAACTGGGCTTTGAAGTCAATGAAGGCTTATAGGCGGCCAGAGGGGAGAAAAGTAGGGTGAGGGGACGCGGTGGCGGTTGGCTACTACTACGGTACTACGATATATATTCTAAATATATACTTCGACGAGGACTTCATATAATTAAGATCGAATATCACTTACAGGTAAGTTCGTTTGATCGTGTAATTATATATAAAAATGTTTCGTCAGAACGACGAATGAGTAATCGTGTAACACACTAGATCATTTTTCATAATTTATACCTCATTGTATGACAACATAAAGTGTGTGAACAAGAAACTTTCGTTAGAAAAATTTGCTCTGTATTTTGGGTGGAGATTTCAATAATATCATTAACAAGAAACCCCTGGTTCTCTGTGATCCGAGGCGCCAATTCTTGAGTGAAGTGGATGCTTCGATTCCAAATCCAATGTTTGTTTGACGCTAGAATCCATAAGGGCGCCATAATGGCAAAGAATCGTTCCCTATATACACCGGGACCGTAAATTACTAAACCGATAATTTATTTTTTACTTAAAAACGAATTCTTTTTAAATTGCGTGAAATATTTTTATGAAACCAAGCTATAACCAAAAATGCACAATAGTATATCTCTCACAGCTGGCTCACCTAAACTATTGCTATGTCGATACGGCAGTTTTCTTATACAGTTTTCCTAGCCAAAAGTGTCCCATTTTCATCTTTATATTTGGATGTAATATAATATTGTCCATTTTACAACTGATCCTCAGTCTTTCTAGTACACTCGTTGTTTCTTTTTATCTGAAACGGTTAACGACATTTTGTATCCAGTATGTTGAAAAATGCGAAATGTTAGCTATAGCTTTAAACTATTTCATCAGCGTGAGTGTTGGCAAACTGTCATCAAAGGACCAGTTTTCCTGCTTTCTACATCATTTGGAGCTGCTTCATGAACAACATATTCAGACAGTTACGTGAACGATATTTCTGATCTGAATAATCATTTGACTTGCCTTCATTTACTTTCATCCTTAGGTGCTGATATTTCCCTGAAATGTCTTGCAATTGAGCATCCATTTTACCAATTCGCTTCATTTTCTTCTGAAACAGTTGTTATACAATTTGTATTCAGAATTTGTTTATAGGGACATTTGACCAGCACAACATGATCTATCACTATATGAATTTTCTTTAAAATTGACCGGTGGTCAAATCCCATATGTTTTGTGCCTGGTACCTTATCAACCATGCTCAGGTCATCATTATTAACAAAACTGTATGATTTTTATCGGTAATATTATAAATTATATTGGCAGACATGCCGAATTTAATTAAAGCAAGAAAAATTTTAATAAGGTCAATTAAAAATTTAATTAACCATTTGACTGCTAATAAGATTCATTAGTTTAATTAAACTCCAATTCATAAATCAGTTTACTTGGATATAGGAAACTTTTTTAATTAAAATTTATAAACTGTTTACTTAAATTGAGTACGCCAAAAATATTTTTCCTGAAAAAGATAACGAACCTCTGAAACATCAAAATCAAAGTTTGAGCGATTTAAGTTCGTTAAATATTTTTGGGACTAGCTCCTCAAAGAGAACATAATATACCCGAGTTAAAATTCTGTTACTAAAAGAAGGTGTTGACATTCAGATATAATAAATAAACATTAAAGATGTCTTAGAATCATTTACTTCTTCGATCTTCCTAAAGATATTTTGACACAAGTTTTGTATAGTATTTTGTATCAAAGATGATTGAAAAGCTCCTCATTATTATTTATATCAAAATATGAGGCTGCTAGGGAAACGTCATGATAGAATCATGTAAACAATGAATGTTTGAAATTTGTCAAAATATCTGAGATAAATTATATTTTATTTTTGAAAGGTAGTTTAGCTGAAATAGTTGCTACCCGTCTAACTGCTACTATTGCCAGAAGCGTTAGTAGGTGAAACATCACGATAGAATCTGTTACTGTGTTTACATCATTACAAATTAGATACTCCAGAATTTTGTATTTTAGTTTAAAAAATGTGTGCAATTCTTCAGGTGCGTTTCTAATTTAACAATATCATTTTAATAGCGTTGTTTAAAATATGTGAATAATTTTTGGGACTGACTCCTGCGAACAGTACACAACTTACCTGAAATACAGTCCTGTTCCTAAAACACTGGTCGTCTGATTACGGGATTGATATTCAGTTATCATAGAACATGGTCCAAATATGTCTTAAAAGCATCTACTTCTTCGATCTCTCTCATCATGTTCTGAAACAAATGTTATATGGTATTTTATATTAAAGATGATTGAGAAGCTCCTCACTAATATTCTTATCAGAATATCAGAATGTTAGAGAGACGTCATGATATAATCAGTAAGTCAGCTTTCTACGTCATGTAAAAAATGAATCTTTGAAATTTTGCAAAACATCTAAAATGAATTAGATTTTACTTTTAAAAATTATAATTTTTTTGTTAGTTTCAAAAAAATTTTGAATTCTTCAGAAGCGTACATTACTTACCTGAAGTATAGTTCTGTTACTAAAACAGCGGTTGTCTGATTAAGGTATTGATATTCAAATATAATAGAACATAACCTCCTGGGAGCATCTACTTCTTCGACCTCCGTCATCATTTTCTAAAACAAATATTTAGTATATTGTATTAAAAATGTTTGAAAATCTCCTCATTATTGTTGTTATCAAAACGTCAGACTGCTAGGGAAACGTCATGATGGGATCAGCATGTTCTACATCATGTAAAAATAAATGTTTGAAATTTTCAAAAACGTCTAACTTGAATAATTGCCATACTCATTAACTTAGATCATGTAAGTCTTTATATAGTAGAGTGCAAACTATACGTTGAACTGTCACAAAAATATTTATACCCTTATTCGTCATTATCTGAAATATTTATAAGGTTTATAATAAAATGAAGACATCAAAATGTGTATGCAGTGTAGTATCAGAATATGTCAACTTCTCGTATACAAATAGAACACAAAAAGAGAATGCCACAAGTTCATTATTAGGGAGATACAGGGCCGTAATGGCGGTTAGCCGCTACTGGATATCGTTTTTTTTTTTCAAATAAAAAATTTTGGCAACATTAGGCTAGAGATAGTGAACCTCTCACGTTATAAGTGAGTAAGTGATTTTCCGTGAACACCACCAAATCAAACTACAGTTGCTTACGGACCTGACAAAATTTCGATTAATTATACAGTGTCGTTTAAAAGGTACCTAATAAAAACCGATTTCCAGCCACTTTTTGCTTTCTACATCATCTCAAATATTTATTATGTTTGCAAATAAACAAAATTTAGCAGATCATTATTTTCAAATGTGCTTACCTGGCATCTTTCCTAAACTGGTTGATTCAACTTCAACCAGTTAGTCAATCTTCTGAATCTAGAGCTTATATGAACTCTCCGTTAGATTTCCATAGACGTTCAATATTTGTATTTCTATTTATCGTATTCAACAGCTATCTCTTACCTGAAATCTTGGAAATGGCACAATAGATGATTTTTTAAAGAGTGATCTGAAACACTGGCGAAGCTTTTACCCCTTGGCGGTATAAGGAGCTTTAAAGACTTAGATCGTGTTGGATACTCGTGCAGCAACAGGCTGCTCATAAGTATCCCTACACGATGACGAATATGGTTCATAATAAAACATAAGGATACGATTGACCCCTTACAATAACCCGCTCAAAATGTGTTTCTGAAAATGAGCAGTAGACACTGAAACGAACGATTTTTATTATTTTAGCAGTAAGGTTGTGACAAAACTTCATCAAAATCCGACAGGCGCTTCCTGAGTTATACAGGGGCCAATGATTAGCGGAAACACAGACAAACCGACGGAAATGGGTGACATTGCTTTTAATTATGTACATGTCATATAACATAAAAAACAGAATATCTCAAATTCGTAATTTGGCGAAACATAAAATCCACTCAAACTCAAGAATGAGTAAACAAAACCTTCACTGAGTAAGAATATCTACAAAAATTCTTATTCAAAATATCAAAATATATCTTACATATGATACAGGACAATTCATCAGTTTTCCAGTTTTATTCCTTATTTCGCTGTTTCCGTCTCTCCATCTCTTTTTTAACCTGAAACGTGCAGTATTTGTATTTTTGTACGATAAAAAGCCTATTTGTCAATTTTATACCTATTTTCACTTATTTGCTCTTGATGCCCATCGCCCATTCACCTTGCAGGGCCCAATCGACTCTCTTGTAGGTAAGATACCTAAGATGCGCTCACTAAATTAGTTTTCATATTTTAAATAAACATCGATCTTGAAAACATACCATTTCCAAAGAAACACTATAAAGAGCTCCAATCTATCTGGGCAAGTTCACATATTTCCAGAATCGAATCGAAGTACTAATAAATAATAAGTCATATTTGAATGCATTTTCAACTCAAAATCAATCTTAAAACATACAATCCAAAGAAGCAGCACGAGGAGCTTCGATCTATCTGCGCAAGTTGACATATTTCCAGTTTAGGATAGAAGGACTAATAATAAATCATATTTGAATACATTTTATGACTATTTGTTGTAAGGCCCAAGCTATACAGTTGACAGGTGGTATTTCACTATGCGTGCATCAAAATTCAAATGTATGTTTATCCCAAGGGATCAGAATAAGAATTTTTATTACAATATGAGACAACGTCGGAACTAGTTGTCTTTTGTCCTCTTTTTAAACGAACATAACCCATTGAAAACTATGGCGATGCAAGTTTGTAGCAGCATATGCGGCATTAGGAATTCTCAGCGGAAGGAGGAGGGCCATTCATCGACAAGAGGTAACTTTTGTGTGAAAGCAATACTACCTCCAAAACTTTCTGAAGCACGAGGAAGAGCATATTTTCTCAGGCAGCCAACTCCTAAAGAGCTCCAAAATTGTACAAAAAGAGAAAGTAAAGTATGCAAATCTTAATTGTATGAATCTGTTTGAATAACTTGATCCCCTTAATGTTTTTTCTCGGAGGGGCCAACTTGTGCAGAACAATACTTTACGAACCCATTTTCAAAGAAACACTGTAAAGAGCTCCGATCTATCTGGGCAAGTTTACATATTTCCAGAATAGGATCGAAGTACGATTAATAAGTCATATTTGAATACCTTTTCGATACAATATCAATCTTAAAACATACAGTTACCAAGCAGCTTCTAGACAGAAAATGTACTTACTACGGGAAGATCGACTACACAGTGCTTTTCAAAATGGACCCTTCTTTCACTAACTTTACAGCCTTTTCTCATTCTCATTCAGTCTTCATTTTAGTTCTTCATCATTCTTTCTTTTCGAAAAAAGATCTTTATCCACAATGAGCCCTGTCGATCTGCCGTTCGCTTTGCAAAAACCAATCTACCCTAAAATAAGATATTATGTATTTTGGATATCATAGTCGTATGACATGTACATCATAAAGAACCATTTCGTTCATTTCCGTCGGTCTGTCGGCTAATCTTATAACCGCCTATAACTTGAGAAGTACCGCTCGGTTTTTAATGAGATTTTAAGACAATGTTGCTACACTGCAAGGACGCAAAGGCTAGTTTTTGAAAACCGACCAAGTGGCAGCAGAGAAGGATGCCAAAAACAAAAAAGATTATTTATTATTATTACATGTTTCAGACGAACAAATTTAGAACAAACAGTCCTTTCGATCCTAACGCTGTTTCCATTTTCAGTTCGTTTCTCACACAAATGTTCACAGTGGACTGACTTGTACATCTAATGGCATCCTGTGTCCATTCTAAGGTCGGTGAAACTTATCTTCTAACGATTTTGACGATGCTCAGTTCGGAGACTGTGTCACTAAAATGTTGATGTACTACATAAGTTGCAACTGAAGTCATACATCTAGATATAACGCCTTTACCAAAATTGGCGAGCCTAAACATTCATGTTTGTACAACAACGATAAAATATTACAACAAACGTACCTTTTCGGTATTGCCTCTTCTATCGTTATCTACACTTCCCAACTCGAAGATTGTACCTCAAAGAATGTGGTACCTTGAAGCTACATTTAAGATCGTGCATATACTAGCAACTATCCAAGATACAAACAATCAGTCATATCATAAGCTGGTGCGACTATCGTTCTCCAGAGAAGCAATCCTCTATTCTATAGCGTCATTGAATTTCTTGGGTTCGAAGGGTGTCTCTCACGGAGTATGGTACCAAGAAGCTGTAACTCGTTTCCCTCTGGTTTGAAGACTGTTTCTCACAGCTTCTGCTATGCAGGAGGTACAACTAAGTATATCAAGTTACAACATTCTGATACGCAAAGATCGGTTAGACTAGGTATAACAGCAATGAAGGATCACAAAAGAAACATATTTGGAACTAGTATAACCTATATTTCATAATTCAAAGACCGTGTCTCACCGAATGTGGCTCACAAAAGTGGCAACTAAAATTATTCATATAGTTGCACCACACCTCAATAAGACTGCATACTAACTAACGTTGTCGAGAAAAAGATGTTTTCATCCTTCATTTCGGTGAGTATTTCATAGACTATGGTACACTTACATTGCAGCCAGGCTTATGCATCAACATTCTGAGTACCAAAAGCCGGTGAAACTGAGTATTTCTCTGTTAAAGTTATAATGGATTACTAAAGACATACAATCCTTCGATGTTTTCTCTTTTATCGTTACCTACATTTTTCACTTCGGAGACTGCGTTTCTCAGATTCATGTACACAGAAGGTGCAACTTAAGTCATCGATCCTAGTAGGACCGACCTATGTTCGAAACCCGGTGAGACTGCGTTGCAGCTATCAAGAAGTATCAAATAAATTGTGAAATTTTCTCTTATATCTTATCTACATTTCCCAACTGGAAGACTTCATCTCACAAATTCCAGTACCCAGAAGTTGCAGCTCGAGGCATTTATATAAGCTACAAAAATCTGTACCCCAAAATCGGTTAGACCGAACCTGAATGAGTTCCACAAAAACAGATAACAATATTATCTCTGCTATTGTCATCTACATTGTTCAGTTCGGACTGAATCTTACACATTGTAGTGTACATGAACTACCAATAAAGTCACTTCTATATATAAGTTTTGGTATTTTGTAACCCAGAATCGGCTAGACTGAACATGAAATATTACCAAAGAAACAGACGTCTTCAATATTTTCTTTTCTATCGTTGTAATGCATTTTTCGATTTGAAAACAGAATTTTACAAATTTTTGAACACCAAAAGTGCAACTTTAGTCAAAAGTATAAGCTAGATCATCTTGTCTCCGAAATTCGGTACGACTGTGCGCAGGGATGGATAATTTTCAAAGATATAGACCTTTTCGACATTTTCTCTTATGTACCTTATCATATTTCGACTCTCCAATTTTGAGACTGTATGTCTCATATTCAGGTACATTGAAGTTGCAATTGATGTCAGGAATCCCAGTCACAAGGGTTGAGATCGAACATGAAAAATTTTTATAGAAGCAGATGATTTGTCAAATCGGAGACTGTAATCAGCGACTACAAAATTTGGAAGGTGGTTATTTTGGCAGGTAAAAGATAGCAAAGATGTCTAAAATAGTACCTCAAATTCGTTGAAGTAACGAGCCCAATTTTTTATATTTCTAGCAGAACGGTATTAGAATTGACCTCATCCATTGCCAGGCACTTAGTACACTTTCAAACCCTGCCAGATACCCATGAAACTTTAATAAATTTTGGAGTTAAACTTTCGTCATCGTACAGAAGCTGGAATTCATATGTTACTTGAGGGACTATCAAACTATCAAAAGATGTTACCCCAGTAGCAGACAGCTTTTATGGTTATGCCTGACACATTACAAGTCTGCCGTAGGTGCGACCGCGAGGCGGTATATATTCAAGTGATTTTTTTATATCCTTACTATATTTTAAGTGTACACGCATTACTTCCCATTGAGTTTTCAAGGCGTGTGACCTTTTGTCAGTGGTATCTTCAAAAAATTACACAAAATCCGCAATTTGAATCAATGATTCTGTTCACGCCGGGACGACTTCATGGACAGACTTACCTCAATTTTCTTCAACAATAGTTGCCTTTGCTGCTTGATGATGTTTCGTTAGTAATAAGAAACAATATGTGGTACATGCATGATGGTGCACCAGCGCATTTCAGTGTAGCGGTTCGTAGTTATTTACAAACTGTTTATCCAAATCGTTGGATTGGCCGCCGTGGGCCCCAAGAATGGCCACCAAGGTCCCCAGACCTCAACAGTTTAGATTTCTTTTTGTCGGGATATCTTAAGACACTAGTGTATACAAGTCCCATTAACACTGTAGAGGAATTAAGAGAAATAATAGTTGCAGCTTGTGATAGAATAAAAAGCACTCCAGGGATGTTCCAACCAGTGCGCAATTCCATGAGAGTGGAAGCATGAATACTAAGTGAAGGGGGCCATTTTCAACAATTTTTGTAATCATTTCGTTGGTTTTAATATTATGTTTATGTTTTCAGTTGTTGTTCATTACCCCTGATGTGTTTAATTTTTCCAATTAAATTAATAATAATTTTGCAAGCTGGACAATATTTTTTTATTTTTTCTCTCAAAAATGGCACATCGAAGGAAAGCAACTCAAGAGAGATCATTTGTTTTGAATTGAACGAGGAATTCTATAATAATATTTATTTGGCAAAAAACTATTGGCGTACCATTTTTTTCTTAACAAATATCGAAGTCAATACCCGTACGCACCCTACTGTTAAAGCTAAAAAATATGTAGCTTTATTAACTTTCACTACATACTAAATATCAATAATATTAACCAATTTCTATTTTTTTTCCTAAACTTCAACACCCCGAGTTTTTGTAAGGAAACATTTTTGAACCATAGTTTATAAAGCAAACTAGCATTATTCTTCATGTAGATGCACACCCTTAAATACTCGCATATCATTAAGGAACACCCTGCATATATATATACATAGAGAACATGTTCATGCGGAGAAAGGTATATACAAAAAGTAGAAAAATAATGGGCAAAATTCGCAAAAAGAGGAAAGTGGTTTCGAGCAGAAAATAAGATAGGTTACACCCGTATCCGGATGTGTGGGAATGTGTATCTACTTTTGTAGTTTCATATGTGCATTTATTTCGGGCCTGATGAAGCCAACCAGCAGAAATACGTATCGCTCGGGTTACCTATCCTATTTTCTGCTCGAATCCACTTTCCTCTTTTTTGCGGATTTTGCCCATTGTTTTTCTACTTATATATATATATATATATGATACGATACGATATATTTGCTGATTGACCGCCAGGTTAGTTCTAAATTCTAATTATGCCACCGCGTAGATGAGAAAAAGTGATAATGTTATTGTATAATTTGTTTGTAATATGTACACAATTTGGCTGTTTGAAAAGCTTTGTTCCGTACTAAATCTAGAAAAAAAGTAGAAGTATTTTGGTATAAATCTGGTATGAGAAACAAATGACAATCTGATAATTTCAAGACCTACTTAGGAAATTCTGCTTTTTGAAATAATCAAGGTTTGGTAATGTCAAAGTATGACGTATTATACGTTTTTGGCATCAGAATCAAAATTTATATTTCTGTCCCAAAAAGCCAATATATGGCGTACATGAGAAAAAATAAAGTTGATGCTGGAGGACAAGAGACGAAACGTCGTATTGAAATTCTAATTATGCCATCTTGTCGAGGAGGAAAAGTGGCAATGTAAATGTGCAACATGTTTCGAGATCCCACTACAAATAAAGTCAGAAAAAAATCTGAACTATTTTGGGAACATTCGGTTTTTCTTCTCTCTCCGGCAGTACTTTGAATTTCGAAACATTCATAAATATGCAGCTTTGTCCCCTTTTAGGCAACTTCGTATCTATTACAGTTTCCGAGATCCCAGTGGTGAGGGTAGAATTTGAAATACCCTGTATATAGTGAAAAGATACACATGAATCACAAAACAATGAAAACTATTTAATGTACAAACATCAATCGTGTAAGAGATGGTCTGAAATAAATATATAAAATGCATCACTCACCCAAATCGCGCCGCCGTTGCGAATTTTGCCACTCCAAGCAAGTCAGTTATCAGTTGTTTCTCTAACGGAACCCTTACTGAGAATTTTTTTTATGTCGGTTAAACAACAGAAAGAGCTAAATGAGATAAATAGGACGGCAGAAATCACACGGGAAAGGCTGAATTAGCGGTATGTCACTGGCGTATATAGAACTTGAGTGTGAGTGGGACTTCTACGCCACAAAAAATATTGGAAGGAATGTCA